AAAAGATGGTTTGAGTGATTTTATAATAGTACTCTTGCTTTTAAACAATTTTAGCAGTCAGTGAGTCAGATTAAACTATACCACACTCTCCAAAATATTGCTTTTCAGATATATTGGACTAAAATTCCCTGAACTCCTGGGCAGAGGGTTTTTAGCTTTTGGCTAAGATCTTTAGGAATTAGGAGAGTTTCAATCCCCAAAAGATCGGGAAAGATAAGCTATACACACAAAAAAATCTAAACAAAATATATTTGTATATGAATTCAAGCAATTTTCCGATATCCCAATTTAATAACACAAATGTTAAATCTTTCATTAAAAGGAGTCTTGTTCCACTGTAGGGATCTACAACTATAATAAAATGCAAGCCAGTCTACAAAAGGTAGATTCTACATAAAGCCTTTAATGAGAGCAGCAAATTTGTTCTTACAATAACAGACACATATGCAGCATTATCAAAAGGTTACTATACAGAGAAGAAAACTGAAAATAGAACCATTGTTTGAAATGGCTTTCTTTCTAGGGCATTATACCAAAACTGAGTACAGAAAAGAACAATCCAAGAAGCAAATAATTCCATCACTATAAATTTAGTCATATTTCATGTATTTTCTAAATACATCAAATTGTATCCAAAATTTTATTTTGTTGACAGCATTATCCTGAAACATGTTTCTACTCATGAACTCCCCCAGCAACACTTCCCTTACTGTTCAAAAGGACCCCATCCCTGGCAGTAAATTGCCCAAAAACAGTGAAGGGGGAATTAGCAAGGATGGTCTGTCCCCTGTTCAGCCAAGAGAAAAGTTATAGATCAAAAGCCTCCTGGTGATAAACGGAATCTTTCCTCCTGTAGGAGTTTTCTGCTAGATCCAATCCAGAGTACACTGTTGTGATTTTACAATCTTTAGATATACAGATGCACCTGTGATACTAAAAGGCATTCAGCAACGTCTTCAAGTCACCAACAACTTCAGAAGAACTTTCCAAAGCTCCAAGAAGTTACTTTTCATGTATGTATTAATTCCCAGTATTGGATAAAATAACTCCACTTGTTTTCAGTCAGAATGCTAATTTTCTTGCAGTAAGAATAATACACTTAAAAGGTTTTAAAAGTGTAGATCCTTGGTTGGCATTCAAACAAAATCTCACAGATCTTTACAAGAAGGAGTGCTAAATTCACAAGCAAAAGCAAACATTAAGTGTGTCTGTGTATGGTGTTTTTCAGAATCTTGACTCTGTATTGAAACTTTTGCCAGAGTTTGAAAATCAAGAACATTATATTACTGGAAATTCATTTTTAAACATATATTGGGCCAGCGATGAGTCACTATGTACACTCATGCAATGCTTATCATATCCCACAAAAATATTCTGATTGTCACCCAATTTTTCCCAATAATAACAAAGGTATTTGAATTTTGCATTGTCAGATGATTTAAATAGAAGCATTTATGTAAGCAAACTGTACCCCATAGAAAAGTTGTGCCACCATAAACTGGCTAAGTCTTTAAGAAGTATAAGCCTTTATTTTCATCTTACATGGCTTCCTCTCTAATTCACATAAGTTATCTGTATAATAATAAGCTAATCACCTCCTCAGAATAAAAAGCCACTCTTAGATATTAAACTAAATAAATAGTTTGATATTATATGAGTTTTTTAACAAAAAAGAAATAAAAGCTATTAACAGGATAGGGAACAAAGCCTGGGAGGCATTTATTGTAAATCATGCCTTTGTAATCAAACCTGATCCATCAAAAAGTGCTGTTAACTTTTGGAAGCAAAGAACAATTTCAGGAAGATATCCTTTAGGACTGCAGCCTAGAGCTAAACGGTTATAAAAACACTTCCAACTCATTGGAAGTATGAAACTACAAAAAGTAACATGTAGTTTGAGCCCAAGAGAATTGCTTTCAGAAGGTATAGGAAGTTGGCATAATTCAGGCTATTACATACTTTAAAAGAATATTCCCACTGTCTCTATCAGCTTCAAAAAGCCACAACAGGATGCTTTTCACAGAAACAAGATGAAAGGCATGAGTGAACTAAGGGACATGTGCAATTTGCCATGTGTCTGCTGCAATCACAAGTGGTCTTCAATACTTTTCCTCCTTCAGCTCAGTTCTTACACCTAATGCTGTACTTTTGGACAGGGATGGAGACTCTGGTGCTCTCCAGATGTTGTTGAATTAAAAGTAGTGGTGTGCAAAATGTTTGAATTTTGTAACAGTTATGACCATACCAGACATGTCCCAAGCAACAGTGCCAGTTCTAGTAATGTTGCAAGAATAATTCTGAACTCAAAATAACTATTTTAATTCAAGACATTTTGCAGACGTCTAATTAATACCCTCCCAGGAGCTCAGTCAGCATGGTTAGGGGTGAGGGATTTTGAGGGTTACAATGAAGCAGGAGTTTAACTACAGGTTCCCCAGTCTGGCATTGTGAAATTAGAAATAGATAGCAATATGACACATGTCTCTTATTCATTGTTTTTTCCAAATGGTACTCAAACTCCTAGTTAGAGCAGAGTTAGAGCATGCCTGTTCATAAATTTATCAATTTGGTTATCATTCTTTATAACTGCTGAAAAAAAGTCAAGAAATCAAGAGAAGATGTGTTTAGACGGGAGGGGTAGCTCGGGAGATGCACACATGTGGTCTCTCGCCCTTCTCCAAATTGTTAAGCTCTGATTTCATTTGCAAATCTAAAACACACATATGTCACCAGATACTTTTTATTTCTATATGTAAAAATGTATAACCTGCCTTTCTAGTGCATATGCCTTTAACAGACTAAAGAAAGCAGAAAGGAATGGAATGATACTTCTTATGTATATGTTTCTATTTGATAAAGATATGAAGACAACCTTTTTTAGACTTCAATTTCAAATTAGAGTGCAATGCTTTTAGGAAAAAAAGAGTTTTGTACATAGTAGGGAAAAAATATTTTGACCTTAACTGAAAAAGAGACCTTTCATATTAAAAAAAACCCCTAGAACTTTAAAATACCTCTCAATTTTCTCCCATGAAAAATTGATTCAGGTGATATTCAGGAAAAAGTTTATGACTACTTCAGCAGGGGACTAGTAGTAACTACAAAAGCAGGTGTTCAGGCATAGTTGTAGGTAATAAAATTCATAGAATCTTAATATTTTTTTCCATTTAGAATAGATTTACTATTTTGGAACTACAGTAGCACATAGTAATTTAACCAAGTACTTTCACTTAAAATATGCTTTAGTGCTGTGTTATATAATATAAAAATATTTTTAAAAGTTTAAGCTCAACCCCTTTATGAAAAATATTAAATATTTTAAGACAATGTCTCATAATGTCCAGGTTTTCTATAAAAAGATATTCGTTTGCTCCAAAATTTTTACCTATTTAAGATAAATTCTTTGTAATTATAACATTATAACAGGATACAATATCATAGTAAAAATTGTCTGCATTTCTCATTGTTAAAAAACCATGATATTAAATATTTTAAGACAATGTCTCATAATGTCCAGGTTTTCTATAAAAAGATATTCGTTTGCTCCAAAATTTTTACCTATTTAAGATAAATTCTTTGTAATTATAACATTATAACAGGATACAATATCATAGTAAAAATTGTCTGCATTTCTCATTGTTAAAAAACCATGACTCAAATGTCTGATAATTTGTTAAAGTTTTTTTTTAAATGGGAAAGAAGAAAACTAAAATAGCCAGAAACATTATCTCACTAATGAATGCTTTTACCTCCTTCCAGTATTCCATGTATTAAAAAGTTACACCTAACACATTTATTCTGTACACTAACTGGAAACTCAGTGTTTGCACATTTGGTTGTCTGTCTGTCTGTCTGTCTGTCTGTCTGTCTATCTCCCACTTCCTCTCATCTGATTTACTCTTCCTTCATATATTTGGTTTGCAATTCAGTTCCCAGTTATTCTGTTGTCATCAATGGATGTTCCTATAATTAGTGACTTCAGCCACCCATCATAACTTTGGTCCAACAAGGTTTCATACAGTGCTCTTTAGTTTAATAGAAAAGGTGTAGATCAGGTTACCAGCCTTAATCATACCTTTGCCACGTGCAGCATTCTCTGATAATAAGAACAGCATCTGTCAATTCTGGCACATTTTGGCCAGTCTGCCACAAGCACAACCCCAAACCAGTTTTACTCTAAGCATGCTCAGGCTATTCTATGCAAGCCAGAATCTCTAAAAACTACTTTGCAAACCAACATATTGTTGCCCACATCCCACCAAACAGGAGATACATGCAGTGTATTGATATAGTCAATGTACAGAATGTGGATGGTATCGATACCATCTATATGTGAGGGATGCATAACTGTCTGGAGGAATCTGAAGATCTGAAGAAGTATACATTTAAAAAAAGTGTTTAGGAACATTCTCAAAGCACCTAAAAGGACAGTGCATATTCATGGAGCACCAGCATTGGAGGGGGAGAAAGAAAAGAAATGGATCAGACTTGAAAAGAGCATGGTTAACTGGCACTTGGAATAAGAACACTGCATTCTGCAATGTTTTGTTGCAAGTGTTATTTGCTTTTTAAAAACCTGAAACTGAATAGAAAATTGGAGGAAGCCCTTTTAAAGCTATGGTATCAAAATTCCAGGCATTCAAGTATTGCTTCCCATGTAAAGAACAGAAATAAAGTGCTTTTATTGATTTATTCCCCCAAGAAAACCTCTTGAACCTTGGTTTAAATAAAGTCCATGGCCAAGATGCACAGATGAGAGGAAATGCAGATAGGAGAGAAAAATACCCACACTGGCAGATTCTTGTTTCTGCTGTAGTTCTCATCACTGAAGAGACCAGCTTCTTTTCTATATTAAACCATGTCATCTTAGTAGAGAAACAGCAAATAAAACAAGTTGCATCCATGGTTGCAAGCCCACCAGTCATGCAAGACATCCTTGTATCTTTAAAATCATCAAATTAAAAAAAAGGGCCCCTTTAACAAAAAAGCACATGTACATATTACTTAATAAGGATGTGTGAATGGAATCTGTACCTATGCGCAAATGGCAATGCATTCTGGGTTGGTTCAGCCCTTGGTTCTGAATTTTGTGTCACTTCTGGCATTGTTCTTTCATCATCCGTCCCATTAATGCTCTCAGGTGTAAGAGGAGACTGAATATCACCTGCAGATTCCTTTAAAAAAAAGATTATGGTTACATACTGCATTTTCTACACAATATAATCCCAGTACATAACATAAAATGCTACAACTATCATATACATTGTAGATCCTAGAAAATGTAAGTATTCAGTATCCTACTGAACATTTAAAGCAGAAAACGAAAGGATAGCTAGAGATCTCAGCCAGTGTGCACATTAAACCATCTACCATCTATTATTTCAATTAACCAATCATGCAAAAATAATTTCTTCTCCATGCAGCAATATCTGACGGTCAGATTGATGCAAGGAGGGTTGTAGTGTTGTGATGCAAGGCTGACCCCTTTTCTCTGTGTGTTGTGATGTTACACATACTATATGCCCCAAAGGGCAGAGTTTGTGGCATGACACTGCAATCCCGCTTTCCTCATTCTGAGGGCCTGAGAGCTTGAAGACCCACTCTTTTCTAGTCATCACTTTCTGTCCTAATTTGCGACAATAGTAAAATCTCCCACTGTAAAAAAAAAAGACAAAAAATGACGTATTCTGCCAACATACTATCTGCATTCATGTTCTAATGATTGTATGTGGAATTAGCTAAAAAATAATCCCAACTGAAACTCAGAGAAGAGTGAATGTATATCCATTCACCTTCACTTTCAGGTACCTTAGTACATTCTCAAGCTTTTATTTCTCTAGAATTTTTCACCTGCTCTTTCCATGTGGCACTTTCAAAACAGGCCTAAATGGATGGATGGATGATTACATCCTCAGAAATTGGCTAGAGGACATATTGGCTTTTCTAGTTATGTTCTTATAGAGTTTAAAGCTGTGCAGTGCCTCATATTTGAATCCACTATGGTACTCTGAAGTGTACAGCGTAGCCCTTCTCTGCATCTTTTTAAAGCAGCTGTATTGATGCTTATGATCCCATGGCAGATGGAGGGGGCAGCTGTGCAATCCTGGGAGAAGACAGCTGCTTTAAGGAGCTGCAGATGGGGCTCATATTTGCACCCTCCAGTGTTTGGAAGCATCTTTTTGAATCAAATCCGAAGAAGTGGATGTTTAGGGCGCAGCCCTTGTTGGCCTTGTGGGGTAAACCAGATAGAAATCACAACCAGATGAGCTAATTCTACTTTATTGTAGCTTTACATTAACAGAATCTTGCAAGTCTGAAAGTAAAATCCTCCCACACCCCATCTCCTTTACAGCCAAGGAACTACGGAGGGTCTCTTCTGAGCTTCTTGCCTACCCCACTATCCAGTTGCAGGCTATGCCATCTCTTATCTGACCATTCCCTTGGCAGTCTCTCTTTGCCCAGTCTCCCAAGGTCTTTCCACACATACCATTACATTCCTAAAAGAACTCTTAAGTTTAATTTAAAATTAAAATTAATTCATTTAAATGTAAACAAAATTAAATTTCAATTTAATGGAACTCTCATTTACCTTTGTGTTGGAATGGTAACTTCCATGATCAGTAAATGTAACATTTTATATTACGAGTTCAAATGTAAATATGTTTCAGTCTTTACTAATTATCAACTGAGCTTACAGTACATGTTCACTGAATTTCAACCTTTAAGTAATGTGGGGAAAATCTTCATCTCCTTCTTTTTGAAGAAAACACAAATACCCAGCATTCAGATATCTCTAGTTAGCAAGGTACTTGGGACCATGTATATTCCAAATTTCAACTTTTGGGGTAGCATGAACATACCTAAAATATCTGGGTATAGATAACACTTTCTCAAATGGAGAAAAATCTATAAATATCCAATTTTTCATGCTTTTCAAACAAGAGTTCTTATTTGATCTTCAGAACCGCCACAATTTGACACGTTTGCCCAACATATGCAGTGTGCTTAACTAACTGAAACTCTTTCTAAGCCTCCTCTTGTTTTAATCAAGAGTGACAAAAATATCTTTCTTGTATGGATAAATTTCAAAATAGCTGGAAAAATGGTCTAATTACAGCACATTTAACATATTATATGGCTGATCAAGACAACATTTAAATCAAGCAGTACCTGCCCTTTTGGAGGAAAAAGCCCATCAGCCTCAAAATCCCTATCATATTCAGTAAAGGCAAATATTTAGGGTACCCACATACTCAGCCAACAGTTACCTATAAATATGTCACTGAAAGGTATTTAGGAATTAGATTGCAAGTATAGACAAAAACAGAGGGAGTATAATGAAATTAAAAAACAATGCTTGATCATATCTTTTACAGTAAACAGGGTAGGATGGTTTTAAATAAATAAAAGGAGCCATTACAATCAATTAGCCTACTGTGATCTCTCTTAATGAAATATCCAATTGGGATCATTTTTAGATCTTTAACAAGAGAAATAGCCTGAGGCATTTGCTACCCTTTTAAGCTCAGGGCACTTACGGTTTACATCAGTGCTTCTCAAGCTGGGCAACTTGAAGATGCCTGGACTTCAACTCATAGAATTCCACAATCAGCAAGCTAGCTGGGGAATTCTGGGAGTTGAAGTCCAGGCATCTTCAAGTTGCCAAGCTTGAGAAACACTGGTTTACAATTACCTAGACTACTGCATTAATTTACCCACCCTTGGGGTTATAGTACTTAGTAAGAAAGTGATTACTCGAGAAAATGCATCAATACAGTGATTAGTGTGGCTATACAAAGCCGCTCTTCCACAAAGCATTAAAGCATTAAAGCAGGCACCGATTTCTCCCAGGCTGAGTCTGCTCAGCCACTTTGCAGGAGATCCCAGTAAACAGGTTGTCTCGGCATGCAGTTGTATGCACAGAGAATGAGGGGCAGCTTTCAAAGCAGCTATGTGAGCTGTGCAAACGATGTAGCTGCTTCATTTCTTCAAAGAAGGGTGCTTTCTTTCCACTAACATGCTTTGCAAAGCACCCTCTTTCAAATACTTTGCATGGCCCCAGTGATTAGTTCTCACATTGATTAACAGTTGGCTGATAAACAGAAGGAATCAAATTCCCTCCCACAATCAACTCCACTTGACAATCTATGGAAGTGGTTGCCTTTTTCCATGATGTTTTTTTTTCAGATTCCCAATCTAGCCTACAGCCATAGGATTGATCCATCTTGGCTTTTCAACATCAGCAAACGATGTTCAGATGTGAATGTCAGTCATATGTGGTCAAAACAAGATCCCACCCTGCCACATACGTATGGATGGTAGTATCTGAAGCAGAAAAATCTAAATGAGTTTAAAAACACAAAATGAAGAAATGGGAAATGGGAAAATTGGGCATGTACCTGCACATGAGAAAAGAAGAAACAGCAAAGTTGCAGACAAGTTACAAATGTCCCCACTTACAACTTGAATTGCATTATGATGATCAAGGTCAAACACTTGTGCTGCCTCATGGCTGTGTGCACAGGAAGGATGGGACAGGAATCAGAGGTAAGAGGAAGTAAGGACACTGAAGAAGGAAGAATTACAAGAGAAGGAAGAAGAGGCTGCTAAGTTTACAAGGGTATAAAGGAGGCAAAAACAGAGGAAGAAGGCAAGCCAGTTGTAACTTGAGCATCAGAGCAGGCAGGCAGGCAGGCAGAAAGGAAGGAACCATTTGTGTAAAGTAAACAGCGGTATCCACAGAGGGATGTCAAAATCAGCAAGATGGCAGGTGCGGTATCACAATACAATCCCCACCCCTTTTGTATTATTATTATTGATTTATTTAAATTTATTGGCCGCCCAACTCCAATGGAATCTGGGTGGCATACAAAACTAGGGGGAAAAAAACACAAAACAGACAAAAACATTAAACCAATATGCTGTATATATGTTGACACAGCCTGCACATACAAATGGGATCACGGCGTGCCTGTCATCTTGCAAATTTTGACCCCTCCACACACACCATGGATGCCATGGAAGCAAATTAGGAAAATAGGGCCTTAGTTTCTCCTTGTGTTCCTTCACGGCTGTACCCAGGCTGAAGCAGACTATTTTTCTTCTCACACCCCAGATCCACTCAAGGATCCTTCTAATCTCCATGAGGTTTAGAAGGAACGGCTTACTCTGGTGTATGAATTGTTACTACTTTTGCAGAGTGAAAAGCTATTATCCCTCAGCTATAACAGACATACCAGGTGCATCAGGCATAGGACTGAGGCAGCCTGCATGAAACTATGCAAACGAATGTTCCAATACTGATATTCAATGGGTAAATCAAGCCTATGTTCAAAGCAAATTATACCCATTTTAAAACAAAAACTAGGACAAACATACCTGTGATGGTGTACTTGTTAATTCCATCTTTTCTTGGGATTTTTCTTTAGCTAATCGTGCAGCTTCTTTAAATTCCTGAAATTTTTCTGCAAACTAAAAGCAAAGGTTGTATAATTATGTTTATTTATTTATCAAATTTATACAGCACATGCTCTCAACAAAACCAGCCCCAGCAATTAGCAAAAATATGAAAGACATAAGTCAGTAATGATAGCCAATATAATAAAACTATTGGTTGGAGGTACATCAAGAAATATTTGCCATTTGGGAAGATGACTTAGGGGCCTTACAAAGATTTCATAATTGGCTGAACAAATGGGAAATCAAAATATAACTTTTGTGATCCAATATGATAATAACCAGATCAGCCTTTTGGATATAAGACTCTTTAACAATAACAATTGTTTAAAGGCTACTTTATTCTACCCCCCCCCAAAAAAAACCCCACCCTCCACAAACCACAGATAGAAACTCATCACTTAAGAATGACAGCTCTCATCTATAAACAATTCAGAAATAATTTACTAGGTCACTTTTCAAGGGTTAAATGCAACTGCCTGTTGGAATCAGTTTTCTTACTGCACTCCAAAATTTTAAAACACCTTCTTATGAGAAGGTACCTAAGCTCAATGATGGCTGCTAAATTTTGAAAAAGCAAAGAGAAAACTACAGGAGCAACTTCTTGCTATCCAGAAATACTAACAGAATGAATGGAAGACGTATGTTGATTTTTGATCTGTTGGAATATTTTCTTGATTTGTTTACAATAATATCTAAAGTACTGTAAGAATTGGTAAGAAGCTAAAAGGTTGTAATGAGCAGCAGTGAGGCCATTTTGCAGGGGAGGGCTAGCTCTGTCATGGGTCATTGAGCATGGAAAGCTCTGTCATGGGTCATTGCATGGAAAGAAGATTAAAGACTTAGGCACTGTTGTTTGCTGCAAGCAGTGCCTCTGTAGCAATTGTAGCTAGTCATAGATAAGAGGGGAGAGGAACTACACGAGGGTCCATGCTTAGAAAGCATAAACAGGCAGCAGGACCATATGATTGGTCAATGCCTTACACTTTCATTGTTAGATTGGCCTAAACTTTTGAATTGGAAATCTGTAAGAGAGGTGAGAGGAATGGCCCAGTGTGGCCATCACTCATCTCTGTCTGCTGGCTGATTTGGGCTCTACTGCAATAAAACCGTTTACTGATCACTCCACAAGTGTTGCCTGCTGTCTACTGTAGCCCAGCTTGGAATGAATTTAGTTTCTAACAGATCCTATCATCAAAATCTTGCAATCAAGTGTCAAAAGATATTGGGAGCTAGTCAAGAATATTCCACATTATCAGATAATCCCTTGCTTCACAGACAGTAATGGAGGACTAGAAATCTCAAGGACATGCTGGCTCAAAGTAATTTAAGTGTTAGGGGTGGCCACCTACAAAACACAGCCGTTGCAAGATCATCTCCTCAGGGTCATCTCCCTTATGACCACTGCACTGATTGTAAATATATACACACAACTTTTATTTTCACCAAACCTATAGACAAACAAGAGACATTCCCTGAAAGGGTGTACCACATGTACTCATGCTTTGTAAAGTTCATTTGGGCTCTTAAGCTGAGAATTGGAGAACATTTAGGCAAGGTAAGGAAACACAGAACACGAATATCCTGTAGTGAAACATTTTCAAGATTAAGAAACATTCCATCTCAGATTTATGGGCCATAGAATACTACAGGGCAAAAATGAGACAGTTTTACTAAAAAAAGAAATCAAGTGGATTTCACCACTGAATAGTCTCACTCCTAATGGGCGAAAGATGGAGATATTCAGTAACTATCTTTGATCTGAAACATGTCTTTCCCTTTCAGAGTTTTGCCCTAGCAGTCCCCAATATTTTTTGTCAGTATGAATCAAAACAATTCCTCTTAGCCACTACGCTAGCTGACTAATTTACCAACATTTTAGATAAAACAATTTCTGTGCCTAATTTTGTCTTTGTGAGAGTCTTTTTGCTTCTACTTCTTATCTACATCAGAAGTAAACACATGCACTATTTAACATTTAAGAATGTTTATGTCCTTGAGGTTACACAATTTTGTGCTTATTACAGCAACATTGTTGTCTGTGATAATGAAGCTAAACAGACCTATGAAGATAAACAAATATACAAACATGGTTTTTAAACACACACACACACACACACACTGTTTTAACAAGTTGAGGCCATACTATTTCAGAATCAGTTAGGATAGACATAAGGAGAATGAATCTATCTATCTATCTATCTATCTATCTATCTATCTATCTATCTATCTATCTATCTATCTATCTA